TGGGCAGGTAGACACGGGGGTGTGGGCAGGTAGACACGGGGGTGTGGGCAGGTAGACATGGGGGGGGGGGTGGGCAGGTAGACACGGGGAGGGTGGGCAGGTAGACACGGGGGGGGTGGGCAGGTAGACACGGGGGTGGGGGGGTGGGCAGGTAGACACGGGGGGGTGGGCAGGTAGACACGGGGGTGGGGGGGTGGGCAGGTAGACACGGGGGAGGTGGGCAGGTAGACATGGGGGGGGGTGGGCAGGTAGACACGGGGGGGGTGGGCAGGTAGACACGGGGAGGGTGGGCAGGTAGACATGGGGGGGGGGTGGGCAGGTAGACACGGGGAGGGTGGGCAGGTAGACACGGGGAGGGTGGGCAGGTAGACATGGGGGGGGGGTGGGCAGGTAGACACGGGGGGGGTGGGCAGGTAGACATGGGGGGGGTGGGCAGGTAGACATGGGGGGGGTGGGCAGGTAGACATGGGGGGGGTGGGCAGGTAGACATGGGGGGGGTGGGCAGGTAGACATGGGGGGGGTGGGCAGGTAGACATGGGGGGGGGTGGGCAGGTAGACACGGGGGGGGTGGGCAGGTAGACATGGGGGGGGTGGGCAGGTAGACATGGGGGGGGGGGGGGTGGGCAGGTAGACACGGGGAGGGTGGGCAGGTAGACATGGGGGGGGTGGGCAGGTAGACATGGGGGGGGTGTGGGCAGGTAGACATGGGGGGGGTGGGCAGGTAGACATGGGGGGGGGGGGGGGTGGGCAGGTAGACACGGGGAGGGTGGGCAGGTAGACATGGGGGGGGTGGGCAGGTAGACATGGGGGGGGGGGGGTGGGCAGGTAGACACGGGGAGGGTGGGCAGGTAGACACGGGGGGGGTGGGCAGGTAGACACGGGGGGGGTGGGCAGGTAGACATGGGGGGGGGGTGGGCAGGTAGACATGGGGGGGGTGGGCAGGTAGACATGGGGGGGGGGGTGGGCAGGTAGACACGGGGGGTGGGGGGGGCAGGTAGACACGGGGGGGCAGGTAGACACGGGGGGGTGGGCAGGTAGACACGGGGGGGTGGGCAGGTAGACACGGGGGGGGGGGTGGGGCAGGTAGACACGGGGGGGGCAGGTAGACACGTGGGGGGGGGGCAGGTAGACACGGGGGGGGGGTGGGGCAGGTAGACACGGGGGGGGCAGGTAGACACGTGGGGGTGGGGCAGGTAGACACGGGGGGGGCAGGTAGACACGTGGGGGGGGGGCAGGTAGACACGGGGGGGGGGGCAGGTAGACACGTGGGGTGGGGGGGGGGACAGGTAGACAGCGGTGCTCACGCTGAAGTAGCGCAGCTTGAGGCGGCCGCGGGCCACGCCGTAGAAAGTGTCCCGCTGCGCGATTCGCTTCCCGGGGGCCCCGCTGAGCCGCTCGGCGGCGGCGCGCAGCGTGGCCACGTCCCGAACCCGGGCCTTCACCTCCACGTTCCGCATCTCTGCACTGCTCACACACACACCCACAGACACACACACAGAGACACACACAGAGACACACACACAGAGACACACACAGAGACACACACACAGAGACACACACAGAGACACACAGACACACACAGAGACACACAGACACACACACAGAGACACACACAGAGACACACACACACAGACAGACGGACTGTTGACGCACGTGCTGTGTCAGCGTAGCACCCACGAAGACCGGCACAGCCTCACACGTTGTGAGGAGGGAATTCAACCCCGACGCGGCCTCACCCGGACCGTGCTCGTTCCCGTCTCGGCTTCTACCGCGGCGCAGGTTAAAGGGCGAGCGGGCTGAGGTCCCCGCAGCCGTGACAATGTCGCCCTCTCTCGGTCACCGTGGAGACAAAGACAAAGGTCCCCCGTGTGGTATTCACAGACTGTAGGGGGCACGTGCTGTTAGCGAGCGCCTGTGATAGCCGGCACGGCACACGAGGGGGTGGGTGGCCAGCACCACGCCCGGCCGCCTTTGTCTCCCCAGTGGCGATGTTTACTATACACCGCACCAGGTACACCATTTGAGGCTGAGTCGACCTAGGGGATGCCTAAAACCGGTTCAAATAATCGTCACCTCTACACGACCGCTCCCCACAAGTGCTCGCCACAGTGGAGAACAACACATACCACAGGGGCCGTCCATAAATGGCGTCACGCACCTGGGGGGGGGGAGGGGTCAGATATTTGTGACGATTTGTGACGATGGGGGGGTGGGGGGGAGTTTGAAGAGTGTGACGTCACATCATAATGCGCAACTTTAAATAAATATAGACAACACGTTCTACTTAATTAAATAGACTTTTTAATAAATGTTTTCTCCTACAACATCAGAGTGCAGCGCCACATTACTACAATGACAATAGTTTAAAGCGATTTGAAGCATGTTTTATTTTCAAAATGGAAACATGGTTTTGGGGGGGGGGGGGGCAGAGCTTTGTGACGTCATATTTGAGGGGGGGTCTGACTTTTTGTGACGCCGTGTAACGAGGGGGGGGGTCAAAAATCGGCCAAAATCGCCTGACGTCATTTATGGACGGCCCCACACCACACGAAGAACAGACACCTATGCGCTTTGAAGGGCCAATCAGTTCAGTTTCAGTTCAGTTTATTTTGGTATAGCCCTGTGAGCCATTCGGCTCTTGAATCGGGTGCAACCACAACAAACAAAAACACGAACAAGAAAAACATCTTAAAGTGACTTTGTGTGACTGTGCAAACAGAAAATCCATGAAGAAAAACAGCAAAAATATTCCTGAAAAAAGCACCGTACACCAACGCTGTGTGAAAAAAATCCCAGTGGGATGCAAGTAAAACAACAACAACCACAAGAAAACTTAGATTAAGGCCGTCAGTCTAACTCCGTACTACAACAAAACAAACATGTCCAAACCAAAAAACTTTTCGAAATCACCAAAAAATAAAGCCATAATTGCAACGTAACAGTGATCATAGGGACTGTGACCGAATTTTTACAATAAACTACATAAATAACATGTAACACCAAATCCTAGAGCCATAGCTGGCTGCATGAGTTACTCCACAACAACAGAAGCATCAGTCGGAGTATCACATTTTTCAATGCACCTTTAAGATCAGCACGCTAAATCAAAATATAGATAATACTTTGCAGCATCATCCGGAGTGAAAACATTTTATTTTACGCCAATGAATAGCAGTGGCAGCTAGGGGTGTACAACTCCTCTAGAGCAGTTTTGAGAGAAGATCTCATTGGTAGCGATTCAAGTTGCAGTTTATTGGCAATAGCATTCCAGACCCTGGAGGCATCAATAGCAAAGGCCCTTCCTCCAGTTTTTGTACGGCAATAGGGAATGTGAAGCTGGTAAATGAGCGAAGACCTGAGGTCAAATTTGTTCTTTGAAACAGAGAGGAGATCCAGCAGGTAGTCTGCGGATTTTTTTGTAAGTACATCGTGAATAAATAAGATCTGGTCCACAAGCCGTCGAACATTGAGATGTTAAGTTTGACCCAATGTAGAGATCACAGTGGTGAGTCCTATATGGGCAGTTCAATGTAAATCTTAAGGCCGAGTGATAGATGAAATCAAGCTTCTTCAGTACAGTACTTGGGGCTGATTTATACATGATGTCACAGTAGTCACGTAGAGGCAGTATGGTAGCTTTTATCAATTCCAAACGGAACATTGGGGGGAAGCAGTGCTTGTGTCGATACAGAAAACCAATTTTTATTTTTGTCTTTTTACCAATATAATCAATGCGATCTTCAAAATTCAGTTTTGAATCCAGGATGACCCCAAGATACTTATAGATCTTGACTTGCTCTATTTGATAATTATTTAAGGAATGCAATTGGGGAAAGTAACTTCCTGCTTTAGTCCTGGTGAGAAGCATAGCACCTTGGTTTTGGAGGTATTCAGGATTAGTTTAAAAGCAGCTAGCTGATGTTGTAGTTTGTTGAAATCACCCTGTAGCTTAGCAATCACGTCATCCGGAGAGCGGCCAGCAGTAATCAGTTTCGTGTCATCTGCAAAAAGATTTACCCTGGAATGATCCAGGTCAGTGCCCAAGTTATTGACATAAAGAGAGAACAAAAGGGGGCCGAGGATGGAACCCTGTGGAACCCCTTTTGTTATCTTAACACTGTTTGACCTCCAACCATCTGTGAATACAGTTTGGGTGCGAGAAAAGAGGTAATTGTGTAACCATATTACTGCGTTTTCGGAAAAACCGAGGCAACTTAGTTTACTAAGCAGGGTGTTGTGGTCTACTGTATCAAAAGCTTTGGACAGGTCTATAAAAATACAGGCACAGTACTGCTTATTATCAAGGCTACTGTAAATGTGATTCAGAGAGTCTAATGCAGCAGATGTGGTGCTGTATTTATTTCGGAACCCAGATTGTTTTAGATGTAATAGATTGTTGGTGGACAGGAAAATGCTAATTTGGTAGGCCAATAATTTTTCCAAAATTTTCATCAACGGGGACAAAATTGAGATAGGTCAGTAGTTATTTGGATCATCTTTAGGGCCCCCTTTGGGATGTGGACGGACATAGGAATGTTTCCATTCTAGAGGAACTGATGCTTCTTTGATGGACAGGTTGAATATATGGGCTATAGGTTTGTATATTAGGTGACCAACAGTTAGTAGAGCAAAGACGGGAATACTATCTGCTCCAGTAGAGGAGGACCCTTTGAGGTAGGACAGTTGTTTCAGAACATTACTTTCGTGGATTGGCTGGAAACTAAATTTGTTTAATGTTTGGACAGGGGTGTAGGAATTTGCATGAGCAGGGGTGGCTCCCAATACATTATCAAAAAGATTACCAGCTTCAGAAAAATGAAGGTTAAAATTGTCAACTTTTTTTTGGGGATCTGAAAAATATTCCCCATTTCGGTTAAGCTCAACAGGCAGATTGTCTGTTTTGGATGCCTTTTCGATACATTTGATTGTTTTTGAATCCGAGTGTGATATGGTCATGGGTACAATGTTAAATAATAAGTAAACAAATAATAAGAGTCGCATTGAGGGTGACATGGCAGTTTATTCCTCAAATTGTCAGTCAAGAATCAAGGACACTTTTCAAGTTATAATTATAAAGCCTATATTGTCTGAGAGTTTACATTCGCCAGCCAGTAAACTAATAGTAAATTATTTTAACAAAGTCAAATGAAATGTCATGCATGTACAAAATAAGTCCTGAAATCCAAATCCATGTAAGAAATCTCACACTTCATACAATGCAGTAGGAAACATGTTTGAACAGTTAGCATGTCATTTTTAAATATTACAATCATTTACACACCTGTAGTAAAATATTTCATCATATGTGTATTCAGGTTAAGCTGCAAAGACAATTGCTAAATCTTGTGAACCAACAAGCAAATGCACTTAGTTATAAGATGTTATTACTCTGTTCTTGCACTAAAGTGGGCATTGCTCCAGGGTGAACAAAGTATTTTATTAAAAAAACAATATAACAATGTCAAGGTCCCGTTCATTTTCCACTGGAGCTTCTGCCACCGGTTTGTTGACGTTCCTGCCACAGGGCTTGTAGGAAGATCTCCTTGCTCTGCTCCATCATCTGGTTGTAGAGTCGCAAGTCCTCCTCCTTAGCATGCAAGGTGCTTTGCAAAGCCATCTTCAGAGCCTCGTTCTCATCTTGCTGAATCGCCAGCCTGATAGTTGCACCCAATTTAAAAACAACGTGTTATAATAATAATTGCAGCCCTTTGTCAATCCGTTGATGGACGAAGGCCTGCCCACACACACATGGGGGTTGTTTGGCATACTTCACCACCCTGGAAATTTGTATTTGGTGAAAGGGTGAGGGGAGGCCCAGGGCAAAATTTGTTATCACTCACAACTGATGATAACCATTTAGGGGAATCAAACTCAGGTCGCTGGGTCCATAGCACTGTGCGCTAACCACTTCTCCACTCAGAGTGTTAGTATCATCACATTAACAAGAAGCCATAAATGAGGAAAATATGCTAGTTTTTGAAAGCTGCATATAAAAAAGTAAGCTCTTCAAAGCATTCAACCTCTGTACTGTAATTAAGTTAGACTTACTGTGTTTCCAGCTCAGGAATTCGTGCATCAGATGGTAGAGCTGAGGAAGAGCTGTCCTTTTTGTCAGTGAGCTGAATGCTCCTTCGGCTTATCTGCCCTGAGTGTGACATGAACATATTTTTTTCACATCAATTTAGTACGAATGTACTGAGCTAATCACAAGTGAATAATGCAATCACTTTCCGTTTATGAATTCGCAAAATAAGCACGAACATAACACACTGCAAGCAGACGAAGCAAAAATATGAATACTTCCTGCACTTAAATTTCTTTGACATAAGTTAACAGTATTCGGCATTTTTTGTTACACTTCTTGCCTGCACGCATTTTGCTGCCAGCCTCCATCCGGGCCCGTCCCAGCTGCTGCTCCAGCTCAACGGCCCGTCGCCTGCTCTCCTGGTGCTTGACTTCTGCCTCCCGGGCCTTGTCAGTAGCTTCCTCAACCCTGTAAGCCACAAACCTTCGATTAGCGTGGTTAGCCACGATTCGCTACGCGCGGTCCGTTAAGCATGGTTGGCTACGTAGGGTGCGAAATAAGTTCAAGATGCATACATACATACACGAAGTCAAGAACTATTACAGTTAAGTTGTATAATTAATTACGCATTGCTTTTGAAATCTGGGCTGTTTTTTACTATCTGCGGTTATTCTATGTGTTAGCTTGCTAACAATAAAAATAATTTCAATAATAATATTCATATAAAAATACTAAGTCAGATGTTAAAGTATGAATTGTAAAAATTAGGTATTAAGGAAACGCACTATGAGACGATATATTTCATGCACATGGGACGTGTTCAATACGATGAAATAATCGGCATCCGAGATGAATATTGATGCTTCACCTTTGCTGCAAAACGCCAACCAGCTCCATTAGCCTGTCCCTCTCCACCTGGGCAGTCTGACTCAATGCCCTTAACTCCACACACTGCCGTCTAAGCAGCTCAGTTTCCTCACGTATACTGTATGACGAGAGTAAAAAGAAATCATCTGAATAAATTGTACAACTGTGGTGGTGAATCTCTCATGACATCTAACATTCATTTATTCCTCACTAGCTTGACTACCTGGCTTCACCCGGGACTTGGATTCACCACGCCCGGCCGCCTTTGTCCCCCCAGTGGCGATGTTCACACATCACAGCAGTTACTCGTTTGAGGCTGAGTCGACCTAGGGGAGGCCCAGAACCGGTTCAAATAATCGTCACCGGTGGTGGCCGTTTAGCGGGAATCGAACTCGGGTTGCCGGGTTCGTAGCGCAGCGCGCTAACCACTACACTACAATGCGTTACGCTTCCACATGCGCGGGTAACGTGACAGATTAGACGTCACAGCTCACTTGCTGTGCAAAAAAAAAATGAATTATTGAGCTCCCCCCCCCAAAAAAAAAGTGTCTTTTTATAATTTTTGCATGGTGTACAGTCTGGAAAGTACCCACATGGCAAATTTCCAGTTTGTTGCATGTCGGGAAGTATGCTAAACATTTTGAACAGACACACATATTCACAACTTTGCCTTTTATATATATGGAGAAAAAGGATTATGAGACTACGCGTTTCTGGGATTCAAAAGTTTGACGTTAAAAAACTACACTTTAAAACATTTGTGTGCAATAATACCAGTGATGCCTGCCTCATGAAGTTATTATTTTGTAGATCCACACCTGCTGCTTGATGGCCTGGTTGCACCGCCAGATGTTACAGTCATGGGGGATGCCTCCACCAGGGTATGGCCCATCTTTGATACCATCCTGTAAAACACAAGCATAAATAGAGATGATAATATCAACAGTACAAAACTGCCAGTTTTTTGCTGGATTATGATGTTATGTTTGTTTACCTAGCAGATCCCTGTGAAGAACCTAAATGAAAAGGAGCAGCTTCATCACCTGTCCCTTCAGCTGCCAGCCTCTGGCGAGAGAGAGAGATGTATATGTACAGTTCATCAAGCATTTAATATCAAGAACAGACCCCACTCATGTAAGTTTAGTAAAACATAATATTTACATTTAACCCAACCTTTCGGACCATGTGCTGAATTTCTTGCTCAAGTTGTTTAATTTTTACTTCCTTTTCCGACACCATCTCCTGAAGTTGCCTGACAAAAGTGTTATCTGCTTGCACAGCACCTCCGGGCTGTTCCAGGTCAGGAAGATTGCCTTGGCTTTTGGGTGAGTATCCACCGAGCTGACTTAGGGTGTTGCCAGCCTGCATGTGGAACTGCTGCTGGCCCTGGTTTTGAACATCCATCGCTTGACCAACTCTCACGACTCTTTTTTCTTTGCCTTGTTTTGCCGCATCATCTGCCGATGATTTCAGGAGATCTTGAAGACGTTTTTGTTGTTCCTTAATGTAGGCAGAGTAACAAACACCACGTAATATGAACATACGGTACTTCACACAGCTAAATGGTATTTATTATACAGCTATGAATTAACAGTGCCTGTACATACATTCTAATAGCATTGCAATAAGTCATTTTACATGGAAATGTTATATTATTTTTTAATATAACCAAAGAAAATAATTTACCAGCAGAGTCTGGATGAGTTCATCATCATTCTGTGCCTTGACCATCAGAGTGGATATCTGTCCTCGCAGGGTCTTCACCTCGGTTGTGAGCACGATGTTACGCGCCCGCGTACCTTCCAGCTTCCGTCGGCCCTCGTCCTGCTCTTTGCGCAATGTTTCTAACTCCCCTGCCATCTTCTGAGGACGTGCAAAATGTTTCTTCGAGTTACGAGTTAGCTCATGACAATACCTCTTTAGGTAACGAATCTTAAACCAAATGCAAAACATTAGCACTGTCGCTGTCACCATTTGCTGGAACTTACTTCCATTGCTTCCTTGCGCTCACGTTCCATAGCTCGAATGTGTGCCTGGTTCTTGTCTTGCAGGGGGGTGCGTCGAGGTCCACCGTTGCCAGTCATCTCCTCCTCCTCCAGGAGGAGCTCCGAGCCTCTGCTCCTCTGTGTGCTCTGGCCCAGCTGCGCCTCCAACTCTCGTACCTAGAGTGCACGAACAACCAATCAACTACGAGTGGAGGGGCAATCGATCACAATAGATAACACAATAAACAAGCTAAGGATTTTACAACTTGCTAATGCTCACCTTGGTTTGTAGGTTCAGTATCTGCTGGGATCTTCCCCTCCAGCTGCCAGGATTGCTCAATAAGTGCGGTATATTAACTGTTTCGCCAACTTCATTGGTCAATACCTGCATGTATAAACACAATAATGAATCATGAAATCGAATTGACAAATATCTCAAGTTATATAATTTGTGAAATATTCCCCAAAATGCCGGAGGTAACAAACCTTGTGAGCGGTACGCAGCTCTTGCTTGAGCAGCTGCACCTGGTTTCTGTAGTCAGAGAGTTTTAGGTTTGTTGCTGAGAGTTTATCTTGCAAGGCTTTCTCTTCATTCCCGGCTCCAAACTGCAAAGTTATCAAATGTTCGTTCAATTTTTAATAATAACTACAACATTTCAGCATATGAATGTGTTGCGAATAAATGTGTCATTAATACGACATACCTTTGCATCAACAGATTTTAGGATGTCTTTTCCATGAGTTCCACTTCCCGTACCTTGCCTTTTGTCAGAATCAAACTCTTGGCGCTGAATAAATAAAAGTTGCTAGATTAAACGTTACAATTCTCACACTCAGATTAGGAAACGTGTACAAAGTAGGTTTAGTCCACGTACAATATGTGGATGAATTAACTGAATTAAGTTCATTGCCTCATCTCTTTAGATCATAAAAATTAAAATGTGGCGGATTCGGACCTTCATTTCAGCTGGGTTCGTCTGGCTCAGTGACTTGAGAAATATTGGCACACTCAGCACACGGCATCCAGTGTACCTCTCGTGATGGTTATAGCCACTAGTCGCATGCCTACCCCAGTCTACGAGCAACCTGGAATATATTCGGGGAGAATAAATGAAGTCCTGGTCGTACCTGTTCTTCGAGCTGGCGAAGTTTAGTGGTGAGCTGCTTCACTCTGCTGCGCTCTCTCTCCAACTCAGCCGTCATCTCCCGCACGCGCTTCGAAAGTTCCACGATCTTTAGGGCTGCAGTGTCTCCAGATGCGCCTACGGGGCCTGCAGGAGGGGACAATTACATAACCAAGGCACGTTTAACATACTGTGTGTAATCAACATAATATACATAATGTTATATTTAAAATTACATTATAAACCAATTAAAGACAAAGGTGCAGCCCTGCATTCCTTGTTCACGCCCCAGCACAGATGGTGGGTGTTAAGCCGGCTTTGATTAGTGTTAAAGCTACAAATGGTAATAAAAACAAGTATGGTAACTACAGCAGCTCTAGTAAGAGGTTTTTATCCTTTTATCTGGCACCAAAACTGACACCTTTATACAAGGGATCATGTTTGCAATAACCACAACACAAGCAGTCAAAATGCAAACAAAAAGAGACAACTCTGATAATGATATGCACTGTCCTTGAAATTTCATAATACAGCAGCTCTGTATTGAACATTGCATTTTTTTAATGGTAGCTCTGTATCCCGAAATACGAAACGTCCGTATACTTACATGAATACAGAGCCCTATGGTCAGTGTAAACATGTCCTTAAAATAGGTCCCGGTAAACGTCAGCCCTATATATATGTGGCTAATTTATGGTGGGAACCGAACCAGCGAGGGCGAGGCGGCTCTCCTCCAGCTGCGACTGCAGCTGTGCAGCACGGCGATCCTTCTCGGCCACGATCCGGTGGAGTCGCGACAATTCATCTCCCATCTCCCTCACTCGCTCCTGCAGGGACCTCACCGCCTCGTCCTTGCCCCCACTTGATGGCCTGACAGACGGAGCACCGCAGCAAGATGTATATACACATACCCTTTGGTATCGCAACACAAGCAATCGTCATCAGCAGTTTTTTTCTTGCTGTGGTTGTCCCACCTGATGACGATTGCTTGTGCTGCGATCGAAACGTCGTGATCTATTATGTTTCTACCTACGTGACTTTACCGAAAGAACCAAAGAGTATGGATTCCTGCATTCACGAAAGCTTCAAATCAAGATTGTATATACATGTATTTAAAACTACTTTCATCCCCTATTCCACGTCTCCTGCAGCTCTGAAACACCGTTTTCACATCATATTGAAAGTATCTTAGCGGCAGTTTCGAGTAATCACGTGAAGCGGAGGACGTTTTTATCAAGAATCGTACGTACCACGTACACTAAATGGGTAAAGGCTCTTTTTGGGGTCATGGATTGTGCTTATGGGTGCAAAAGACGACCGCTGAAAACAAATACGAGTTTTTCCTAGTTTTTGTTTTCAAGAGATGTAATGTTTTCACGAGATGTAATGTTTTCAAGAGATGTAATGTTTTCAAGAGATGTAATGTTTTCAAGAGATGTAATGTTTTCACGAGATGTAATGTTTTCAAGAGATGTAATGCTTTCAAGAGATGTAATGTTTTCAAGAGATGTAATGTTTTCAAGAGATGTAATGTTTTCACGAGATGTAATGTTTTCAAGAGATGTAATGTTTTCAAGAGATGTAATGTTTTCAAGAGATGTAATGTTTTCAAGAGATGTAATGTTTTCAAGAGATGTAATGTTTTCAAGAGATGTAATGTTTTCAGCTTCTGCAGTAGCTGAACGCTAAGGAGCATGCCACGTTTCAAGTGCAAGAATATGCATCGATGTGGCAGCCGGAATCTTCACCATAAGTCAAAACTGTAATTTTAATCAGATAACAGAACAATATAGAAATGATAACAAACTTAAAAAGAGCTCTCAAAGAGAAGTGCGTTTCCCAATATTCTAAGCACAGTTTGGCAGTGTTCATGTCATTTAATGGTCCTATGCCAATGATTGATTAAAATTCCACATTCGTGTGGATCCAAAATATCATAAATACAAATTCAGAGGGGTTTGTTTATCTTTACATGCCTATGTACTATTGGAACTGCGCCATGTGGACCTAAGTCTTACACCGCATGTTTGTGACACTAGACGATTCTGACATTGGCAGTAAAGAGCTTGCAACAACATTTCAATATTTTGCTTGAATAAGAGAACTGACAACGCGCAGTGTGTCCCATAGCCGTTCCCCACGAGGGTGTGAGTTGGAGTCCCCGGGTCCCAGGGTGTGAGTTGGGATCCCTGGGTCCCAGGGTGTGAGTTGGAGTCCCCGGGTCCCAAGGTGTGAGTTGGAGTCCCCGGGTCCCAAGGTGTGAGTTGGAGTCCCCGGTCCCAAGGTGTGAGTTGGAGTCCCAGGGTCCCAAGGTGTGAGTTGGAGTCCCCGGATCCCAGGGCGTGAGTTGGGGTCCCAAGGTGTGAGCTGGAGTTCCCGGGTCCCAAGGTGTGAGTTGGGGTCCCAGGGTCCCAGGGTGTGAGTTGGAGTTCCCGGGTCCCAAGGTGTGAGTTGGAGTTCCCGGGTCCCAAGGTGTGAGTTGGAGTCCCCAAGTTCCAAGGTGTGAGTTGGGGTCCCCGGGTCCCAAGGTGTGAGTTGGGGTCCCAGGGTGTGAGTTGGAGTCCCCGGGTCCCAGGGTGTGAGTTGGGGTCCCAGGGTGTGAGTTGGGGTCCCAGGGTGTGAGTTGGAGTCCCCGGGTCCCAAGGTGTGAGTTGGGGTCCCAGGGTCCCAAGGTGTGAGTTGGGGTCCCCGGGTTCCAAGGTGTGAGTTGGGGTTCCAAGGTGTGAGTTGGGGTCCCAGGGTGTGAGTTGGGGTCCCAGGGTCCCAAGGTGTGAGTTGGAGTTCCCGGGTCCCAGGGTGTGAGTTGGAGTCCCCAAGTTCCAAGGTGTGAGTTGGGGTCCCCGGGTCCCAGGGTGTGAGTTGGGGTCCCAGGGTGTGAGTTGGAGTCCCCGGGTCCCAAGGTGTGAGTTGGGGTCCCTGGGTCCCAGGGTGTGAGTTGGAGTCCCCGGGTCCCAAGGTGTGAGTTGGAGTCCCCGGGTCCCAAGGTGTGAGTTGAAGTCCCCGGTCCCAAGGTGTGAGTTGGAGTCCCAGGGTCCCAAGGTGTGAGTTGGAGTCCCCGGATCCCAGGGCGTGAGTTGGGGTCCCAAGGTGTGAGTTGGAGTTCCCGGGTCCCAAGGTGTGAGTTGGGGTCCCAGGGTCCCAGGGTGTGAGTTGGAGTTCCCGGGTCCCAAGGTGTGAGTTGGAGTTCCCGGGTCCCAAGGTGTGAGTTGGAGTCCCCAAGTTCCAAGGTGTGAGTTGGGGTCCCCGGGTCCCAAGGTGTGAGTTGGGGTCCCAGGGTGTGAGTTGGAGTCCCCGGGTCCCAGGGTGTGAGTTGGGGTCCCAGGGTCCCAGGGTGTGAGTTGGAGTCCCCGGGTCCCAAGGTGTGAGTTGGGGTCCCAGGGTCCCAAGGTGTGAGTTGGGGTCCCCGGGTTCCAGGTGTGAGTTGGGGTTCCAAGGTGTGAGTTGGGATCCCAGGGTCCCAGGGTGTGAGTTGGGGTCCCAGGGTCCCAAGGTGTGAGTTGGAGTTCCCGGGTCCCAGGGTGTGAGTTGGAGTCCCCAAGTTCCAAGGTGTGAGTTGGGGTCCCCGGGTCCCAGGGTGTGAGTTGGGGTCCCAGGGTGTGAGTTGGAGTCCCCAAGTTCCAAGGTGTGAGTTGGGGTCCCCGGGTCCCAGGGTGTGAGTTGGGGTCCCAGGGTGTGAGTTGGAGTCCCCGGGTCCCAAGGTGTGAGTTGGGGTCCCAGGGCGTGAGTTGGAGTCCCGCCCGTCGTACCCGGGGTCTGCAGGAGCCGTGAGCTCCAGGCCGAGGTCCTCGTGGTCCGCGTGGTCCCCACGTCGCTCCCGCAGCCGCTCGAGGCGCGCGCGCTGCTGCTGCTGCAGCGTCGCGAGCTGCAGCCGCAGCCTCTCGCCCAGCGCTTCGTCCATGCCGATTCCGCGTGTGTCGGTGTCTTGTGTCTGTGTGTGACGACTGTGTGTCACCCGAGTTGTGTGTGACCGGGGCTGTGTCTGTATGTGACTAGGTCTTTGTGTCAGTGTGTGTCTGTGTGTGTCAGTGCGTCTGTGTGTCAGTGCGTGCGTGTGTCAGTATGTGTCAGTGCGTGTGTGTGTCAGTGCGTGTGTGTCTGTGTGTGTCAGTGCGTGTGTGTCTGTATGTGTCAGTGCGTGTGTGTCTGTGTGTGTCAGAGCGTGTGTGTGTCTGTGTTTGTCAGTGCGTGTGTTTGTCTGTGTGTGTCAGTGCGTGTGTGTCTGTGTGTGTCAGTGCGTGTGTGTCTGTGTGTGTCAGTGCGTGTGTGTCTGTGTGTGTCAGAGCGTGTGTGTCTGTGTGTGTCAGTGCGTGTGTGTCTGTGTGTGTGTCAGTGCGTGTGTATGTCAGTGCGTGTGCGTGTCTGTGTGTGTGTGTCAGTGCGTGTGTGTGTCTGTGTGTGTCAGTGCGTGTGCGTGTCTGTGTGTGTGTCTGTGTGTGTCAGTGCGTGTGCGTGTCTGTGTGGTGTGTGTGTGTCAGTGCGTGTGTGTGTCTGTGTGTGTCTGTGTATGTCAGTGCGTGTGTCTGTGTGTGTCTGCGTGTGTGTCTGCGTATGTCAGTGCGTGTGTGTGTCTGTGTGTGTGATTGTGGGGGGCGGTGTTGTAGTGGTTAGCGCGCTGCGCTACAAACCTGGCGACCCGGGTTCGATTCCCGCTCACGGCCAACACCAGTGACGATTATGTGATAACGGTCCTGGGTCTCCCCTAGGTCAACTCAGCCTCAAATGAGTATCTGGTGCGGTGTGTAAACATCGCCACTCGGGAGACAAAGGCGGCCGGGCGTGGTGCTGGCCACCCACCTCCTCGTGTGCCGTGCCGGCCTTTATAGGCGCTGTTCGCTAACAGCACTTGCCCCTACAGTCTGTCAGGGCTATAAGGGGGATCTTGTTGAGTGGTTGTATCCGTATCTGTGTGTATCTGTGTGTATCTGTGTGTATCTGTGTGTATCTGTGTGTATCTGTGTGTATCTGTGTGTATCGTGTCTGTGTGTGTGTCTATATCGGTGTGTGATTGTGTGCCTGTGTGTGTGTGTGTCTATGGCGTTGGTGTTCTCTGTTGGGTTGAAGCCTGAGAAACCGGCGTTGCCGTGGAGACGGACGCGCGGTGATGGTGCGCATGCGCGACACCTTTCCGGCTTCGTCGTCATCATCATCATAGTCATTACCATCATCATCATAGTCATTACCATCATCATCATAGTCATTACCATCATCATCATAGTCATTACCATCATCATCATAGTCATTACCATCATCATCATAGTTATTACCATCATCATCATCATAGTCATTACCATCATCATCACAGTTATTACCATCATCATCACAGTTATTACCATCATCAACATCATAGTCATTATCATCAACATCATCATAGTCATTACCATCATCATCATAGTCATTACCATCATTATCATAGTCATTACCATCATCAACACCATAGTCATTACCATCATCATCATCATAGTCATTACCATCATCATCACAGTTATTACCATCATCATCATAGCCATTACCATCATCATCATCACAGTTATTACCATCATCATAGTCATTACCATCATCATCATAGTTATTACCATCATCATCACAGTTATTACCATCATCATCACAGTTGTTACCATTATCATCACAGTTATTACCATCATCATAGTTATTATCATCATCATCATCACAGTTATTACCATCATCATCACAGTTATTACCATCATCATCATAGTCATTACCATCATCATCATAGTCATTACCATCATCACAGTTATTACCATCATCAACATAGTCATTACCATCAACATCATAATAGTCATTACCATCATCAACATCATAGTCATTACCATCATCATCATCACAGTTATTACCATCATCATCATTATAGTCATTACCATCATCATCATCACAGTTATTACCATCATCATCACATCATTACCATCATCACAGTTATTACCATCATCATCACAGTTATTACCATCATCAATATCATAGTCATTATCATCAACATCATCATAGTCATTACCATCATCATCATCATAGTCATTACCATCATCATCATAGTCATTACCATCATCAACACCATAGTCATTACCATCATCAACATAATAGTCATTACCATCATCATCACAGTTATTACCATCATCAACATCATAGTCATTACCATCATCATCATAGTCATTACCATCATCAACATCATAGTCATTACCATCATCAGCATCATAGTCATTACCATCATCATAGTTATTACTATCATCATCACAGTTATTACCATCATCATCATAGTCATTACCATCATCATCATCATAGTCATTACCATCATCATCACAGTTATTACCATCATCATCATAGTCATTACCATCATCATCATCGTTATTACCATCATCACCATCACAGTTATTACCATCATCATAGTCATTACCATCATCAACATCATAGTCATTACCATCATCATCATAGTTATTACCATCATCAACATCATAGTCATTACCATCATCATAGTCATTACCATCATCATAGTCATTACCATCATCATCATAGTTATTACCATCATCAACATCATAGTCATTACCATCATCATCATAGTCATTACCATCATCATAGTCATTATCATCATCATAGTCATTACCATCATCATAGTCATTACCATCATCAACATCATAGTCATTACCATCATCATCACAGTCATTACCATCATCATCATCATAGTCATTACCATCATCATCATCATAGTCATTAGCATCATCAACATCATCGTTATTACCATCATCATCATAGTCATTACCATAATCAACATCACAGTTATTACCATCATCAACATCATAGTCATTACCCTCATCAACATCGTCATTACCATGATTAGCATCATAATCAACATCGTCATTACCATCGCCAACATCATCATCACTTTCATCACCATCAACATACCATTTTCAACAACACCAACATCAACATAATCGCGTCAGCACCATCAACATCAGTCAACAACACCTTACGTAAATATTACCGGCAACATTGGCACCACCAACATTACCATCAACCATCACTATAATAATTCGCATTATAAACCATCACAGTTGTCTCCAATGTTGCCATTCACGTTATTGTGAATGCCTTGAAGGTGGCCGGGTTTCTCGAGATCAGAGGGTTGAATTGTCACCCCTAGGATTCTAATTTTAAATCCAGCCAGGTAGCTGTTATTAAACCGGCTTCTCGGGTATGTAATGAGTTGATTGTCTCGGCACAGTAACTAATAAATGCATTTAACAAAAACTAAAGTTGCCAAAATTCAAGTTCTGCGAATTAAACATTGGGTTGAGAGTCATCCAACAAAGATTACTCTCGGTGGCACAATGGGTAAGAAAATGCTGACCTTCGACTGTAGTGAAGAGAGGTCACTCAAAACTGACGCTCTAATATCCAGCACACGATCTAAGACGAAACCATTTCGAGAGATCCATTACATGGCAGCCGTAGCACACTCCGGATACAAATGTGGGACAAGATTATTTAAAATTAAGAGTGGGATTGGCATGTTACGAACCCAAGGCTCCCTTAGTCGACCGGCCCGTGTGCTTGTTTACGAGATGAATAGATTGCTTGCAACAGGATGTTCACGGACATGGTCGCTTGTCCTAATAAACGCTCATTTAAGGTGTTCACCGTGCGTTTGTATACAAGCGGTTGTTCTTCGGAAAATAACATAATCGCATGAAAACCCCCACGGTATTGCATATGTTTGTTTGGCCTGCCCGAGTGTTTTGCAACAAAGACTCAAAACGCTGCTGCTTATAAATATACACTGCGTGGTGTGTGGGTTGGTGTGGGTGACTCGTCCCTCTGCCCGCATGTGCAGCTCCCACGATACAGCTCTGTCAAGCAGACACTGTCGACAACCCATGCCACACTGTGCGGGTATTGATTTGTGCTCTCACTTTACCCTACTCTAAACACCATGCACACAAGCCGAGATAAACATCGCTTTTCTATGTTGGTTTAGGCTCTAGTGAGCGTTGAGTGGTGCTCATGTCCATTGTTGGTTCCGAGCCATGTGCGGTGGTAATTCCAAATGGCATGGACCATTTTAAAGTAAAGCATGGGCTGCTTTGACCCTAACTAGGATCCGAACTAATGCGTTTGCGATGATCAGCCCCGTGCACTAGCGAGTGAGTTTTCCTGGCTGTCCAGCAGGTAAATCGCTATGGCCACGTGTGCCCGTGCTCACGAGCGACAGCACATCTATTCAGACTGCGCAAGGGAAAAGGCCAAGTGTATGTTCACAATTATGTGATGTACGTTAAACTTATTTCGCACCGTACATAACCGACCGTGTTAATCGGAGGTGCGGGGGAAGGACAACAAATGTAAATATATTGTGGATATATATTTCTGACTGCTGGTGGTCACTTCTGGTGAGCCTGGGTATAATAACGCAGTTTGTTTTACACCAGAGTAAACCACTTTTCTAATTGATTTTAAACTACAGTCATTATCCTCCATAATTAATTGCAACAATTAAAACTTGAAGATATGAAAACATGGGCGTTTTTTTTTATCAGCTGGACTTTATTCAAGAGGGCATGAATGCATGAACTATGATATACACACACATAATAATCATACTTAAAACATAGCAGGATGCAGACTATGTGCCCATGTCCAATACAAGCAGATTACGTAAAATGAGAATAAAATAATAAATTGATAAAATAACACAATAATATTCTCACGACGTTTCTGCCACAACACAAGCGGCCGAAACGTCGTGAGAATATTATTGTGTTATTTTATTTTATCAATTTATTATTTTATTCTCATTCTACGTGACTTTACCGAAAGAACCAAAGAAGATGAATCCTTGCAGTCACGAAAGCTTTAAATCGAAAAATACAAGCAGATTACTATACAATTTGTGTACGAACTTATTTTCAACCATATAACATACGTGCAAACTTTTTTTTACCTTACATTCACTGTAAAATACACACGGTATTAGCATAAACAGCAGTTCCATTATAAAAAACACAAGCAACGTAGTGCCACGGTGTATTGCAGTGTTGCTGTGCTTGACATTAATCTCACTCCACTCTGGACGTGTTAGCATCCTCTGCACCATCTGCACATTTCATGTGCATGCGTGTGAATAGTTTAAGAAGCCTCGTGCCCTGTGCAATGTATTTCCACGCTTTTTCTTGGATACATATGACCTCGCGAGTAGTCGCTTTATGCTGCATATATGGCTTAGAGCCTGTAGTATATGTTTTACTGTATACAAATTGTCATCAACGTTAGGGGCCAAAAATAGTCGCAGGTGTTGACCAAACTCCTCGGCTGTGATTCCTTTGAATGCTCCTATTATGTGCTATTCAAGATCACCCAAGTTTTTCCTTAAAAATGTTTTAAAAATTAGGAATAACATAACATATTAGCCGAGCATTGCAAACTGTTGTCTAATAGTAATGTTTTAAGAATGGATAATACTTTTTATGGATGCCCTCGATTAGCAGTGGCCAACATCTGTGATGGCCTCTCTTACGCGATCTAACCCAAAAAAACCTCTATCATGGATGATATTGGTCGCGAAAGCCTGCTACGTGTTCAACTGATCTGCGATGGCTGTCACATCGTGTTAACACATCACTTTAGGAACAAAAAAAGTCCCATCATGGTGGATTGAGGCTAATACTAATAATAATATTAATAAGCATGTAAAAATACAATCATGTTTTTGTCTCTTCATGTTTAGAGTCCTTCGGGACAAGCAAAAGTATAAAACAGTGGTCCAGAATGTGTGTAGGCTCAAAGGCTTAAAAGTTGTTTTATTTTATTTTTCCGTGGTGAAAGGCACTTTTGCCTATTACTTTCTGGGCAAGTCAGCACTTTTATTCAGCATTGCAGTTGTATTAATATACGCGTGCCACTTGTTGAAGCGCAGATGTACAATGTGAATGTTATAGAACATCGCGGGTTTAATATACAAGTGTATGTAGCCTAGATGACAGCAGTAGCTTGCCGTGAGTGGGATTCGCATCTTGACCAGAGAAGGAGTTTCACTTGCTGCTCGTGGTATGTTCATCAGTTGGTATCTTTAAGATGTACTCTTTGTACATCGAATACAGCACCCCTGTGAGAGAAGAGAATCTGTGAGTACATCGAGCATAACCGTCTGCCAGAATGGCAATAGGAATAGGGGTACAACGATGCATATATGAATATTAGATTCTTGTTGTCATGATGATACACGCATTGAACGGCACGTGTAAGAATAGACGTTCTTTGATTTGTACGTGTTGTAACAGACTCATGTCACCCCTCTGCAGTCACTGGAGGTGCTATGGTTCTCTCACTATCTTTAAAAAATACTTCTCGGATCGAATTGTGGCAAATATAACTAACTACTAACGACTAAATATTCATTCAATAGTTAGGGGGGGGAGGAGAAGGGGGCATGAATATTTGCACGACTGGCGATAAATTTACCAACATTGCCCATCAACTGCTAGATGAAGGCCTCCTCACGCCTCGTCAGTCACAGGGGGATAGTTGGCCCGCCTTCATCAGACCGGTCAGTGTGGTGAAGATCTCACTCACCATTGGTGACATCTGTACTTAATAATGAGTGGCGGTTAGTGATGGTTGAAATAAGTTAACCCTGGTCTTGTGTTTAGAGAGGAGGATAACAGCAGGATGGATAATCTCGGGTTAGTGAACACGGGCACGCCTCGGTATGTGAAGCCTGCGCATATACCCTGTAGTTATAACTGCTATGTGCTCATATTCTTGGTGCTCGTTAGTGGTGGCTGCATTCTCTGAGGTCAGCCCCATGGCACTGCTTGCTGTGACACAGACTGAGAGGACTGCACTCCAAGGCCCCCTACAAGATGTCTCAAATGCATTCCATGGGGCTCGTTCAGTCACAGAGCAGACTACATGGACATTGGTCAAAAGGGAGGGAATATTTAACTTAATTTGAATTTGGCTTTATTGACCATAATAGGCCAAGAGCCATATAGCTTACCTCATCAATATGCCACTAAGCCTATATACTGTATACATTGATTTAAGAAATATGTAAGCATAATATAAATTGCCAGAGAGTACACCCAATAACAACTTTTAGGTCGTTTAGGGGCATTATACAATCTGCATGTACAGTATATATCATTTTCAGGCATCTTAGATGACCACTGCCTCAGTTTCCAGGCAATCTGTGTTACATTCTCAGGCAGTCCAAATTATTTTTTTGAAGTCCACCTGAATTGTGAGTCGTCAATAAAGTACATTCATGACACGTGGATCTTTACACGTGTGTACATGTCTGTACATGTATGCTGTATAGAGACATGTACACACGTGTGTACACACGTGTGTACATGTCTCTGTACACACGTGTGTACATGTCTGTACACGTGTGTGTACATCTGTACACGTGTGTGTGGAGTGGTGGTCTCTCATCTGTGCACATGTGTACGGGTGCGTGTGTGTGGAATGGTGGTCTTTGTCTTTGGTATAATAAGTGTGCTGTAGTACTTCGGCACGAACCCAGCCACCTCGCCTTCAATTCCCGGTCACGAACAACATCAGTGATACATTTGATCTGAACCTGTACTGAGCCTCCCCTAGGTCCACTCAGCCTTAGAAGTGGCATGTTATCCCCCACCTCTGATTAGTACGGTTAGCTACGTGCGGTGCGAAAGAAGTTCAACAAACATACTCTACATTTTGATTTAAAGCTTTCGTGACTGCAGTAATTCATATTCTTAGTTTTTTCGGTAAAGTCACGTTGAAGAGAAACAACAAAATAACAAAATATATATAAAACAATAAAAAATTCTCACGACGTTTCGACCATAACTCAAACGGTCATCATCAGGTGTGTTGGTTTGCATAAATTTATTTTTAAACGGCACATTTATTTATTTATAAAAAAACCGTTGGCGTCACGCGCAGCGATTGGCAGTTTGCCCAGGACTAGTCCATCTATTTTTTTGAAAAGAGGAGGGGGGAGACGAAATTTTTTATAATGTATGCTGTCTGAAAGCCACTGTAAGCGTGAACAATCAATCAAGAACTGAAATGATTTATCAAATCTTTCCAATGATTGCTAAGATAGAATCCATCTTCTCGGTTGAAATTGTCTCTGTGCTTGTATATGTGGATAGCCTCATGAACGAATCTCTCATGGAAGCCAGATGGCTTACAAAGAACCTCCGTCTTGGAAAAGTCAATGGCATGTGAGCCTACTGAATTAGAACAATGATCTGCTACGGCCGAGGTGTTGGTCCTACCGTGTTTAAGGTCTGCTTTATGTTCACGAATGCGGTCCGAGACATGGCGTTTGGTTTCTCCAATGTAACTACTACCACAGAGGCAACTTAGTTTGTAGACACCAGGGTATTGTATGTCCGGAATCACATCTTTTACAGACGGAACCAGATCACGGATTTTATGTAATGTGTTGAAACGGACCTGGATCTTGTGTTTATTCAAGATTTTGGAGATCTTTTTTGTGATCCCAGCAATGTAGGGTAAAGTGATGGTTTTGAAAGGCTCCTCAAGAGGGTTCTTCTTCATGGTTTGAGTGATAGCTTTGCGGATTGTATAGTCGGAGTAACCATTAGCCCTAAGAGCTTGGTGTACGTGTTTGAGTTCACTGCTTATGTGTTCCTGGTCGGATATGCATTGGGCTCTATGATACAGAGTCTTGATGAGAGAATTCTTCTGTGATGGATGGTGGTGGGAATCCGGTTTCAGATAAGCATCCGTATGGGTAGCTTTCCTGTAGACAGAGTGGCTCATTGAACCATCAGGTCTCTTTTTAATTAGGACATCCAAAAAAGGTATCTTGCCATCTATTTCGACTTCCATGGTAAATCTGATGGCTGGGTGTATGGAATTGATGTGGTCGAAGAATTGGTCTAGAGTAGGCCGGCCATGTGGCCAGATGACAAAAGTGTCATCCACGTACCTCTTCCATAAGGTTGGGCGCAGAGTGGCAGTCTGGATGGCGTCAGTCTCAAATTTCTCCATGAAAATGTTAGCTATAACTGGAGAAAGGGGGGAGCCCATTGGGGTGCCCTCAGTTTGTTTGTAGAAAGTTCCATTCCAAGTGAAGTATGTATTGGTTAAACAGTGTCTCACCAGGGGGGGTACCTCAGTGTTTAGTCCTTGATGAACCAAGTCTTCAATGATTGCAATGGTGTCAGGTACAGGAACCTTGGTGAATAAGGAAACTACATCAAAACTGACAAGCAGGTCGTCTGGGGACAGGGAAATACCCTTGATTGTTGATACCAGGTGAGTAGAATTTTGTACCGCAGAGGTGGTCTTTCCAGTGAAAGGACGCAGGATTTCAGACAAAAAACGAGCTAGTTTGTAGGTGGGGGAGCTGATAGTAGCTGATAGTAGGAGCCTTTCAAAACCATCACTTTACCCTACATTGCTGGGATCACAAAAAAGATCTCCAAAATCTTGAATAAACACAAGATCCAGGTCCGTTTCAACACATTACATAAAATCCGTGATCTGGTTCCGTCTGTAAAAGATGTGATTCCGGACATACAATACCCTGGTGTCTACAAACTAAGTTGCCTCTGTGGTAGTAGTTACATTGGAGAAACCAAACGCCATGTCTCGGACCGCATTCGTGAACATAAAGCAGACCTTAAACACGGTAGGACCAACACCTCGGCCGTAGCAGATCATTGTTCTAATTCAGTAGGCTCACATGCCATTGACTTTTCCAAGACGGAGGTTCTTTGTAAGCCATCTGGCTTCCATGAGAGATTCGTTCATGAGGCTATCCACATATACAAGCACAGAGACAATTTCAACCGAGAAGATGGATTCTATCTTAGCAATCATTGGAAAGATTTGATAAATCATTTCAGTTCTTGATTGATTGTTCACGCTTACAGTGGCTTTCAGACAGCATACATTATAAAAAATTTCGTCTCCCCCCTCCTCTTTTCAAAAAAATAGATGGACTAGTCCTGGGCAAACTGCCAATCGCTGCGCGTGACGCCAACGGTTTTTTTATAAATAAATAAATGTGCCGTTTAAAAATAAATTTATGCAAACCAACACACCTGATGATGACCGTTTGAGTTATGGTCGAAACGTCGTGAGAATTTTTTATTGTTTTATATATATTTTGTTATTTTGTTGTTTCTCTTCAACGTGACTTTACCGAAAAAACTAAGAATACTCTACATTATCAATTCACTACTAGGGAGACAAAGACGATCGGGCTTGATGCTAGACATACCACCCCTGTCGTGCGCAATTCCGGCCTTAACAACAGCGGTCTGTATGTAAATACAGAACATCTTTGCCTTGCGTATGCGTGCGTGTGCGCGTGTAGAAATGGATGAGGACTGTAAGTTACCGAGCGTCATGGCTCCCACCACCAGCCCCTGTGCTGCAACGCGCGTGTGGATGAGGTGCACGGACATCTTCCTGTCACCCCGAGTACGTAGGGTGTAGATCCCGTACGCAGCAGCGGCGGCGCATCCTGTCAGCCCTGCACGGTGGCACACACGCACACATCTATACTAGTAAACACTGAGCGTGCCTCGTGTAATAAACATTACACTGGTAAGCTGCATTGGACTTGGCCACGTATTGGCTTTAGTGTCGTACTCCGTGGCATGACATTTAAAGCGGTGTTGAACTTTAAGCTGTGACCCTGCTCTGTGAGTGAAACCATCAACCTCCAGGACCTATTTTTTGGCTCACACTTTGAATATTCACTACGTGTATTTGTCTAGCTATCAGCATGGATCCACATATAATGCTACCAAACTTCAGATTTGTACCCCTTAAAGAACACCATTACAATTTGCATCACTCCGTCGCTATATATTCACATCACTATATACAGTATTAGATCACTCGTAATATACACATCTCCGTTTTAATAAGAGGGAATCTATTTTATTTTGAAAATGCCTCTGAAATGTAAAACAATGCACACATTCTTAAAATGCTTACATCTCTCATTTCGTTCATGAATATAATATACATTTTGGGGCTAAATTTGCAAACATTTTATAAGACAACTTTACCATTTCGAGGTCCTTTTATAGATAAGGACAAATATGACACCAACATAATTGGATAGGTACTTACTATTTACATTTTATAGAAATAGTGAGTCCCTGGAGCCTAAACATATTGCAGCATCAGTGTGTTAGTAATCTAATGTCATGCTTTCGGTCTGCAGGTTACTGTTAGCTTTGAGTTAAGCTTTAGGGGATAAATTATGGGAACAGTTAGGGGTAAAGCTATGGGTAGAATCAGAAATAAGAGTCCATAATATAGGGTTTTTGGGGTTATATGGAAAGATATATGGCTGTATGGTAATAGCTAAGAGTAGGTTTATAAGTTAAGGTAAGATCAGAATGTAAGTGTATGTTAATTATTAGGGGTAGGGTAAGGTTTAGTGGGGGAAGGATGGTTATGGATGTATGGTCCAGTCAAAGGTAGAAAGTCCTGGTTAAGGCTGTATGATAATAATTAGGATGAGGGTTATAATTAGAGATAGGTACTGGGATTAGTAGCTTGCAGGACAGATTTTAGGGTACGATTTAAAAGGGTGACAGGGGGTGAGGATGTCTCGACTCACCGAGCGGCACGAGGGGATTCTCCTTTGTCTTGCGGAGCAGACGCATGCCTTGCTTCTCCTCGGGCTTGGAGTCGGCGGGACTCCAGGCCCTGCTGGGTGTAGACATCGCACCACGAGCCCTGCGCGTACACGGACACCGCGTGAGCCAGGGCATTGTCGAGTACGGCCGTGGGCAAAGTTCAGCACCTGAGTTGGGTGATATTCTGATTCTGAGTGCCCAGTACTGATGGTGGCCACGCTGTCGTACCAGATGGGGTCCTCACTTGAGGCTGAGTCAACCTCAGAGAGACTTGAAACAGGAGTCATATGCCTATAAATAAATGACACAATATTTCTTAACTACTTTGTTTTGCTGAAATTATTGCTAATGCTTAATTTACGACACACATTTATTAAATGTATATAAAAAATGCTTGCATATTTTTGATTGACTTATCGAGGTAAAACAATAAGAAAATAATGTATGACACATGAGTCTGTATAGGCCGAACGTGACGATGAACGTACGCTCACCACTGTTAAAGACAGATGAACAAGAGACAAAGGGTTTTTTTACCTCTCTGCAGCCGGGCAAAGTGAGGTTAACAAGCACCAATGAAGCCCGGTATTGAACACGACGATTAACTGTGGCCAACACCACGCCAGTGCTGATGTTCACACGCCTCTCCAGGGACTCATTTCATTTGTATTCGACCTCAGCGAGGCGCAGGACAACTTCAGATATTACTCGCCGCTAATATTACCCACGGTCGGGAATCGGACCCATGGCAATGAGCCAACCAATGCGCCACCGTTCCCCACGCACTCACGGACCCACACACCCACGCACCCGAACCTTGCACTACTGAGTTCGCTTCTGCAGTGATCCCACCAAGTGCGTCAGTCAGCGCGCAGTGCCGTGCAGTGCGAACTCGTCCCTCGGTGTAGAGCAGAGAAGGCCTGGCCAGGTGCTGTCGAGGTACTGGGTCGAGGCCACACACGCACACAACACACGCACACAACACTGCCAGTAGAGCTTCCTGTGGAGGGACTGCGCTGTTCGCCGCGGTGTTCTGTGTATATATAGCCCCGGGGAGACCGCCCCGTGGCTCGTACGCGCACGGGAACGCGCGTGTTCTGCCACGAAGAGGAATTATAATAAACAGGACATGGAGACAAGGAGGGGGAGATGCATTGGGAGAGTGGAGAGACGTCGTCGGCTGGGAGAGAGCTCGGTCGTCCACGCCGCGTGTGCGAGCGATGCGTGCGTGCAATGTGCAGTCGGGACCACTCACACGTGCAACGCGCGTTGGTTTTGGTGTTGTGGTCTCAGAAGTGCCGTGCACTTCGCCCCGCTTTTAGTGCAGCCATTCGTGCTTATTTAACCACGGGAATGTTCGCTAATTGAGTGTGGGTACACTCAAGATTTAACTTTCATAAACACATAAAATAGTCGTGACATTTATTTATGTAGGGAAGCTTCACTCACTTTCATAATTAAAAATAATTTCACGGAATTTATTTTTCTAGGAGTGTCTCGCTGAGATCTCAAGAGTTTTTATTTTTCCAGGAGAGAACTGCACATGTTTGTTTAAGATGTTTCGTTGATTCCATTTTAAGGAGGAGGATTTGTTTATCAGACGACTCAATGAAACTCGGAAAGTCAATACCGATCCAGAGTGTTCCTGATTAAACGGCAGATTGAGATTGGGCCATTGTTTTGCTGCTGTCATGATCCAACTTTTCCAAACGTGAAACAATCGCTACTGACTTGGGGGGGGGGGGGACGTTTGACACGTCGGCTTTCGCGACCAAAAATATCATCCATAATATAGGTGTTTTTGAGTTAGATCGCGTAAATATATAAATGTTGTGTCGTTAAACCCGCCACCACCCGACACAGCCAACTAGTAAGGTTGTCGCCTGATGATGCTGGTTGTAATTATTGGCGAAATGTCGTACGCAGATTGTAAATGTTTTGGATTACTCTCCAACACACCGGTGTGCTGTATTAGTAACTAATTGGCGTGTTTTGTTTACGTGACAAACCTTACTAATTGGCGGTGTCGGGTGGTGGCGGGTTTAACGACACATTTACGCGATCTAACCCAAAATAAACCTGTATTATGGTTTTGGGGGGGGGGAAACGTATCAATCGTCGCCCCCTCCTGGAAAAACTTAGCAGGACCCTCCTGAATAAAGTCTTGAGACTCAGGAGCGCTTTCTTTCTGCGTAAACAAGGTTAATAATTATCATAAAACAAGTTGCCCCGGAACACTGCTGCATACGGTCAAACGATTGCTGGATCAAAATACCGATTTATTTTACATGGATAGTCACAGTCTGTTGTCTATTACACGTTTTTAATATACAATATATGGTTTTGGAGTTTTGGATGATACTGCCATATGCTGAGCGACTCGCAACGCAAAAGCGAGGTTTGGGAGTCGGACGATGACTGGAGGGAGAAGTGCAGCGCGTATCTGGCAATTCATAGAACATGATATAAAACGTGATTGCATTTGGAGGGATCTCTGCATAAACCGCGCCGTGCCAGATGCGGTGTTTTGTTAGTAAAGCTTGCAACCTGTTGGCACGTGGGGTCTGGCCAAACCTAATAAAGAAAGTCATTCTGACGAAGCAGACTTCCTCACAGACAGACGACGCGCAGGTACAAGGGCACGTGCTCCCACGTGCACGTGCGCGGGAGCACGTGACCGTGAGAGCACGGCTCGGGCCAATCTGAGCGGACACACCACACACACACCACGTACCACACACCACACACACACACCACACACCACACACCACACACACACACACACACCACGTACCACACACACCACGTACCACACACCACGTACTACACACACACACCACACACACACCACGTACCACACCACGTACCACACACACCACGTACCACACACCACGTACCACACACACCACGTACCACACACACACACACACCACACACACACCACGTACCACACACCACGTACCACACACCACGTACCACACACCACACACACCACGTACCACACACCACATACACACACCACGTACCACACACCACGTACCACACACCACATACCACACACACACACCACGTACCACACACCACGTACCACACACCACGTACCACACACACCACGTACCACACACCACGTACCACACACCAGGTATCACACAACCACGGACAACGCGGTGTCAGGGGGCTCCAGGGGGATCAGACCTCCCCTCCCAGCCTGCTAAATTCATTATTGTTAAGTCAAATATGTCTGTACACGTATATACCATACATTTGTAGGATTAAGTGATGGGCTTCGCAGCTTCTGTTCCTTTAAAGGGCTGATGATGACAACGCTGAATGCGCGAGCGACAAAGGCAGATCGCATTGCTTCTCATTCTGGTGTGGACCAATCGATTTCAAGGACAATGCATATATTATCAGAGTATGTTTTTTTGCATTCTGAGCACAAGTATTGTGGTTAATGCAGACATGATTCCTTGTAAAAGGTTTCAGTTTGGTGTTTTAACGTCTCAACAGAAAAAAGGGGAAAACCTATTCTCACGTTTAATAATTGTTTCACGTTTACTTAACTTTGGCTCTGCTAACTCAGCTTTTGTATGGCCCCCCACTTGAAACAGTGCCACGGTACAAAGTTAACAAACCCGGAAAGATCCTTAGCTGTGTCATCAAGGGTAATTGCGGGGTGACTATTCACTCGTGGCCTATCCGCTGCTGGATGAATTCCTCCACACGCCGCAGTCATTTGTGAAGATCTTGAGATGGCGCCATCCATCTCATTCCTCCTGCACGTGAGCTGATCTTCACCGCTCCGTCTCCTTGTTGGTCGTTCTGTTGGGGGCACGTCCACTCCTTTGGATGACCTTCCATCACCAGTATTGCCCGTCGGCAGTCATCCCTTCCCGCGATGATTTTGCAATTTCAGTGACCCTGAGTCACTCTTGCAAATGAGACTCATCTTTGTCTCACCCGTTCTCGCCTGGCTAAAAAAAATTACTTGAACATTCACCGATTGAAAATAACCCGATCCAGGCATATTGTCTCACCATGTTCGCGCATAATCAATTACAGGCAGTACAGCAAGTACGTGTCTACGTAAAGTTTAAATCTTGACTTAAAACTTTCGTGACGGCAGGAATTCAAATTCTTTGGGTCTTTCGGTAAAGTCACGTCGATAGGTTCAAAGAAAACAACAAACAACTACGACGTTTCGATCGCAACGCAAGCGATCGTCATCCTTGAACCTATCTACGTGACTTTACCGAAAGACCCAACGACTATGTAGAGTTTAAATATACTATACTTCCGCTGTGAACGTGTACTATAGTACCATGCGCTCTGGTTTCCTCCCACACACAAAACACCCAAAGGGGGAATTGCTTCACCGCAGCACTCCACCCACGAGCGAGGCTTCGAGCACGGCGAGCCACGAGCGGACACGCGCAGAGGGACGTCCGGCTTGCGGTAAACTCTGCTGCCACCGGGGCGACTTGGCGGTGGGGAGTGGTGGCGCTGCGGTTGACGGCACTGCGACTCCCAGGATCCCCGTCCACGGGCAGCGATTCGTGGCGAGTGATGCCTGAGCGTGGTGAAGTATGGCCAAACAACCCCCATTGCCCAACAACCGCGTGGGGGAGGCCTTCGTCCAGCAGTGCAATTGACGAAGGGATCTGAATGAGAGTTACTTTCATCCGTGTCATATGGACAGATGTAGGAATATGCACCTGTTTTTGTACTGCTGTGTACACTACAAATCAAAGCTACTCAGCTACAGCTTCAGTTTCCTCCCTTCACTCTTCGTATTTATGTCCCTATTAGCCCAATCACAGACCATACTTTGCTGTAGCCTCCTGCTCCGACATGTTTGCACTGTTGTTTTCGATTCGCGTGAGAGTTTTATTACCGTGATAGAGACGAAAATTAAAAAGTTTACTTGTACATCACTTTTTCTGGCGCGCCTCTTGCTGTCAAATTATATTTCTGCTTTGTTTCTGCGTGTGGTTTTATTTTTCTACCGTCCAATAATAGTGCCTTCTTTTCGCAGTTGTACAATATCCTTAAGGCCACTTCACTCGTCCTCTGCAATGTTGATGGTTGTGGTTGTTGTTGCTGCTGCTGTTATGCTCACGTACCACCGATCTCCGTCGTGAAATAACCGAGAAACTGGCTGAACGGGATCATCTGAGAAACAAATAAAATAAACTCAAACTATCCCCCCGCACCTCCGATTAGCACGGTTGGCTACGTACGGTGCGAAATAAGTTCACCATCCAGTGCAGTGCATACAGGAAACTCATTGTCATCCACAGTTCAGCAAACGTAGTCTTATAGCACGAAACATAAACGCGACAAAATGTTGTTTTCTCTCTTCAGTAATCCAGATGCAGCAGGACGGGGGCCAGAGACGATGACGAGGCAACGGCGGATTGTGAAAGCGAACTTTTGCCAAGTCACGTGGAGTCATTGAAAGACGGCGCCTTGAGTTGTCTTTGTGCTTGGTGGGGGGTTGACTGTGGACAAACACCCCCCCCCCCTGTAAGGTTAAAGAGGTGCGGGGTGAGGGTTCGAGTGGGGTAGAGGGTATCGAGGAGGAGGGGGGGCCCAGTCGTGGTTGTGTTTGTTCCGGAAGCCCAATGCGCCGCACGTCATCTCGTTCACACGAACCCAGAGGGGATCTTATTGGACTTGTCAGAGGAAGGGTTTGAGGGGGGTTAGGACAAATCCAGGATATGTTTGGAATCTGGATGTAGGATGTCAGGATATGCATACAGTACGTGCCAGTAAGGTAGCACTGAAGACCTGGAAAAAACGCACTGACTATTGTGGTGAAGTATGGTCAAACAACCACCACGACCGACACGGCCCTTCATCCGGCGGTGGAATAGCAAAGGCTGTAAATGACTGTAGTATTATTATTATTATCATCATTGGGAGAGAAATGTCGTGCACACCATGTGTGTCTATGTGTTTGGCAGAAGTGACCGCTCGAAGGGAGGATGACCGGTGGGCGACACGAATGACGGAGTGACGATCAACGGAGGGAATGCGTCCACACAGGAGATGGAGCGATGTTCTCGGCTCGCGTGCACCAACTGCAATCATGTTTGTTGCATCAGGGGTCTGAAGAGATGGCGCAAGGCTTGCGGAGGTCTTCATCCAGCAGTGGATAGACCACGGCTGATGATGTTTAGGCGTGATTGTACG